GCCAGTCACATTCCTCCACCCCAAACTCGCTCATCCATGTCTTTATGGACCTTTCTTTGTGCACTGGTGCACAGTTATGTTGGAACAGGAAGGAACCATCCCCAAACTGTTCCCACAAAGTTGGGAGCATGAAATTGTCCAAAATGTCTTGGTATGCTGACACCTTAAGAGTTGTCTTCCCTGGAACTAAAGGGCCAAGCCCAACCCCTGAAAAACAACCCCACACCATAACGCCCCCTCCACCAAACTTGACACTTGGCACAATACAGACAGGCAACAACCATTCTCCTGGCAACCACCAAACCCAGACACGCCTATCGGATTGCCAGACAGAGAAGCATGATTTTTCACTCTAGAGAACACGTCTTCACTACTCTAGAGTCCAGTGGCAGTGTGCTTTACACCACTGCATCCGACGCTTTGCATGGCACTTGATGATGTAAGGCTTGGATGCAGCTGCTTGGCTATGGAAACCTATTCCATGAAGCTCTCTATGCCCCATTGTTGTGCTACTTTGAAGGCCACAGGAAGTTTGGAGGTCTTTAGCTATTGACTCTGCAGATAACTAGTGACTTCTGTGCACTGTGCGCTTCAGCATGCGTTGGCCCTGATCTGTCATTTTACATGGCATAATACTTCATGGCTGAGTTGCTGTTGTTTCCAGTTGCTTCCATTCTGTTATAATATCACTAACAGTTGACCGTGAAAATATTTAGCAGCAAGGAAATTTCACGGATGGACTCATTTCATAGGTGGCAACCTATCACAGTACCATACTTGAATTAGCTGAGCTCCTGAGAGTGACCCATTCTTTCAGAAAAGTTTGTAGAAGCAGTCTGCATGCCTAGGTGCTTGATTGTATACACCTGTGGCCATGGAGGTGATTGGATCACCTGAATTCAATGATTTGGAGGGGAGACACAATACTTTTGGCAATATAGTGTATACTAGTTCCTCCTTTGAATAGTGTCCCAAAAAACGCAGTGTTAGGAGGATTGGCCTCATTCGCTGCCAGCACTATCCCCTCTGTTGTTTTTCACCAAATATTTGTATGAATTGATTGTGGGCTGAAGCATTTTATACGTACAACAATACACCACCACCCACTAAAATTCAGCTCTTGCCAGGCAATGCGCATGGAAACCTATCATGACTTATGAATTTAAAACTTGTTGGGGGCTATTCCTCAACATTGGCATTACAAAAAAGAAATAATTGTGGCCACAGAACTGATTCATCCTATGCCCATGTTCTCTGCTGTTACATATATGCCCAACATGGACCAGCAACATACTGGTACATCACTGGACTTTGAGTTGTTATACTGGGATGATGTCTGCAGCTACAGGCATCATCCTGGTATCATTTTTTTCAACTGGCAGTCGGCTTTCATGTAAAAACAATCCTAGGCACTAATTAGACCCTGGATTACTTTTACAAGCATCAGGAAGGGATTTCCCCCCTCCCGCAGCCTTCCAAAGTTTTCCTGGACTCTCCTCTCCCACCGGGGAACCCAAAAAATGCAGTTCTGCTGGCTGACCATAGAGCTTATCAGAGACCAGAATGCCTCCAACCATCTTTATGGTCTAAGAGACTGGAGGTTATGAGCATTTCACCATTTCCGTTTTTCAAGATATAAACAGCACCATTTTAAAATTGGGAAAGCAGCAGCTCTTGGTGTGATCAGATACATTAAGGGCAAGAGAGAGATCTAGAGTCTAATAGACCCCAGATTTCTCAGAAAAGAGTACCTGCCACTGCCTATTGCTATCACAGGGGATATTTACATTCCCTGTGATAACAATAACAGTGAGTAAAAAAAATGAAAGGGGTAGTGTAAAAATAATTAGAATGTAAAAATTGAGGGCAGTAATTCTAACACTAGATCTCCTTTGTAAATCTAAAGTGGTGACCAAGTATGTCGTGTTTGGGATCTATTTACTCGGCATAACATCATCTTTTATAATTTATCAAACAATTAAGCAAAATATTGTGCTTTTGTGCATTAAAATTCTAATCTGTGTTGTTTTCCAAACAATTTTCGTTTGAAAAATCACTGCACAAATATTGTGTCACAGAAAAAATTTCAACACCCACTGTTTTATTCTCTAGAGCCTCTGATTTAAAAAAATATATATATAATGTTTGGGGGTTCAAAGTAATTTCCTAGCAAAAAAAAACAGTTTTTTTCAAGTAAACAAAACGTGTCACTTGTTCTTCAAGTGGTTAGAAAAGTCAGTTGTGTCTGGCATTAGCTTCTAATGTTGCCCTGAAATGTCAGGATAGTAGAAGCACCCCCCCCAAATGACCACTTTTTGGAAAGTAGACACTGCAAGGTATTTGCTAAAAGGAATGGTGAGTATTTTGCAGATCTCATTTGTTGCAACAAGTTTTTAGAAAATAAAGAAAGAAAAAAGGCATTTTAGGGCTTCCAAAACTGTGATAGGTAGTGAGGAAGTAATATGAGGAAATTTGCCTTTTGAAAGCATGGAGGTGGTCATTGGATTTTGGGGGCCTGTATTCAGCTAGGCTGCCAAAAAAGTTTCTCACGTGTAGTATCCCCATACTTGAGAGAAGTATTAAAATGTGTTTTGGGGTGTTATTCCACATATACCCATGGCATGTGTGAGCAATATATCATTTAATGACAACTTTGTGTAAAAAATAATAAAAATAAATTGTGTCATTTTCCAAAACTTTGTGGCAAAAAATAAAATCTTCCATGGATTCAACATGCCTCTCAGGAAATTCCTTGGGGTGTTTTCTTTCCAAAAAGGAGTCATTTGTGGGGTTTTTGTACTGCCCTGGCATTTTAGTACCTCACAAAATGTGATAGGCAGTCAGAAAGTAAAAGCTGTGTAAATTCCAATATATATAGTTTGTAGATACTATCACTTTCACACAAACGCATTAATATACATGTATTGGGATTTTTTTATAGCAAAGACATATAGCAGAATACATTTTGGCCTAAATGCATGACTAACTTTGAGTTTACTGGATATTTTTTATAACCGAAAGTAAAAAATATTGTTTGTTTTTCAAAAATGTTTTTATTTATATCCCAAATAATAGAAAAAAAACCCATTGCTGATAAAATATCACCAAAAGAAAGCTCAATTTTGTGTGAAAAAGGACATAACATTTGTTTAGGTACAGCATTGCATGACCGCACAATTACCAGTTGAAATAACGCAGTGCCGAATAGTAAAAAATGGCCTGGTCATTAATCTTCTGGAGTGCAAGTGGTTAAATAAAGAATATAAGGTAAAAAATATACAGTAAGCGCTCAATAATAGTGGCAGCAGCTGAAACATAAAGGAAAACGCATATAAAGTCCCACGATTCATAAATATAAAAATGCAGCGCTTAAAGAAAGTGATAAAAACACAGTCCAGTAAAAGAAGTGCTCCGTGATTCCTAGTGCAAATGGTAGAAATTTACACTAACCAGATAGCGTAAAAATATACGCATGTGTGTATAAATAAAGAATGTGTGGTTAAATAAAGAAACATATTATTTATTGCCAGACTATAAAACAACATGTAAATAAGGAGGTAAACAGCTTTACAAGAAAATTAAATCCTTACAAAAAAATATGTATACTTTATACATCTCAAGAGCCCCACAAACAACAGCTCCACAACCAAATCTAGGGAACTTCAGGTGTCCCTTCCCAAAATGTGTGGATTTTAAAAAGTTGGAATGGTTTTAACATACAGTACCACCATCCAAAAAGGTAGCAAATCAATTGTAGGAAAAAAAATAGGACTTTTAAGCTACAATATGTAAATCTGGCACAGTATCTCTATTACATTTATTTCTCAAAATACAAAATATCATTAAAAATAACATCAGAGTCATATTGCTTACTCTTAGAACCTCAATGGTGCTGCAGTGTGTTAATACAAAGTGCATTGAGATTCATTACTTTGCTTGTTAATGTGCCATTCAAATGACAACACAAAAAAAAAGGTGCATGCAATATACTTTTTTTCTGCAATGCAGCACACCACTACGCACCATAGTGTGTTACCATGTGATAGAAACCCATTAACAATAAATGGCACCACACACAGCACACACAGAAACATAGAAAAGTGATGGCAGAAAAAGACTGTCCATCGAGTCTGCACGTTTTTGTTTTTGTGTGTGTGCGTAGTAGCTGATGTAGTTAAAGGTTTCAGTCATGTCTCCTCTTTCCCTTCTTTCATCTAGAATGTACATGTTAAGTTCCTGAAGTTGCTCTTGATATGTTCTATCCCCAGGTCTTTCACCATGTTGTGCACATTGCAATTCGCGTAGCATAAAGATGTGAACCTGGCCTAAGAGAAAACAGTTCATCATTTTGTTAGCATACCACTCAACAAGGACTAAAGGTGTCGGAGGCAATCAAACAATCACTGACAAACTATCTGTCTGCTGAAAGATATTTCAGATAAAAGATATTTCCATAAACATTAATGGTTGAATTGACTGTGTATGCTGAATAATGTCTTTAGAATTGGTGGGAAGGGAAAACAACATCTCTGGCTTTAGGTGACAAATAACTGCAAATTCAAAATTGGCAGATCCATTCTTTCTTTAACCACTTGCCTACCAAGCACTTATGTCCCCTTCTTTACCAGGCCAATTTTCATCGTTCAGCGCTGTTGCACTTTGATTGACAATTGCGCAGTCATGCAAGATTGTACCCATATTAAATTTTTATAATTTTTTTTTTCTCACAGAGCTTTCTTTTGGTGGTATTTTATTGCGCTGGGCACTATAACCAAAAAAAGTGCAAAAATTTGAAAAAAAAATTTCTTTGTTTCTATTATAACATTTTTCAAACAGGTAATTTTTCTCCTTCACTGATGTGCGTTGATGAGGCGGCACTGATAGGTGGCACTGATGGGCACTGATAGGCAGCACTAATGAGGTGTCACGGATAGGCGGCACTGATAGCAACTGATAGGTGGCACTGATAGGTGGCACTGATGATGGGTACTGATAGACAGCACTGATAGGTGGCACTGACTGGCATCACTGCTGGGCACTGACTGGCGGCCTGCTAGGCATTGACTGGTGCAACTGCTGGGCACTGACTGGCACAACCGCTGAGCACTGACTGGCAGCACTGCATTGATGGGCACTGGTGGGCACAGGTGGGTAGCACTGCTGGGCACAGGTGGCTGGGCACAGGTGGGTGGCACTGCTGGGCACAGGTAGGTGGCACTTCTGGGCACAGGTGGATGCACTGCTGGGTTGCACTGATGTGCACTGGTGGGTGGCTCCATTGGGCACTGGTGGGCGGCACTGCTGAGCACAGGTGGGCGGAACTGGTGGGTGGCACTGCTGAGCACCGATCATCAGGGTACTGATCATCAGTGCCCTGATGATCGGTGCCAATTCCTGCTCTGACAACTGCCAGTTCTCGGCAGTACTTTCTTTGCGCTCTGACAGTGTGAGGAAAGTGCAGTTGAGAACCGGCAATTGCATTTCCCGGTGATCAGCGTGTCATTGGACACGGCTGATCATGTGGTAAAAGACTGCTGTTATTGGCCTTTTACCACATCACGTGATCAGCTGTGTCTGTCTTTGCACTCCCTACAACCTCACAAACAATCCCTTTCCTCTCTCTGATTACAAACTCATCACTTTCACATTCTCCTTGTCTTCAAACACCTATCCCTCTAAGCAGCAAACAATTACCCGCAGAAACCTTCACAACTTGAACCCTGCTCCTTTCCACTCTGCAACTGACCAACTCTATGACAGAATCTCTCCTCTGTCCTGCCCTGACCTGGCCACTGCTGTCTATAACAGTTCGCTTTCATCCACATTAGACTCACTTGCTCCTCTAACAACACGAAGCATCAGGCCACGACCATTACAACCTTGGCAGACTGACAACACCAGAAATCTTAAACGACATAGTCGTACGCTGGAGCAATTGTGGCGTAAAACCAAATCTCAACAAGCATTCACCCTATATAAATATGCTCTCTTAACATACAAGTCATCCCTTCATGCTGCCAAACAAGCCTACTTTGTCACTCTTATTAATACCTTGTCATCCAGTCCTTGTCGTCTCTTCTCTACTCTTAACTCTCTACTTTCTCCACCTCCACCCCCACCCAGTACCTCACTCACTGCTCACAAGATTGCAAATCATTTCAAAAACAAGATTCGTAGGGGCATCGCCACTGCACAGAAATCCATCCCACTTAGCATACCTTATACTAAACCTCCCTTAACACTTTCCTCTTTTGACCTTGCCACTACCGAAGAGGTCACTAAGGTTTTCTCAGAAGCCCGTCTCACTACCTGCCCCCTGGATCCTGTCCCCTCACAACTACTACGGTCATCCTCTTCTTCCATCCTATGCTCCCTCACTCACATCTTCAATCTCTCCCTCTCTACTGGCACCTTCTCCCCCCCCCAAAGCATGCACACATCACTCCCATACTTAAAAAGCTCTCGTTGAACCTAAACAACTTAAGACCTATCTCCCTGCTCCTGTTTACCTCTAAACTCTTAGAATGCTTAGTCTACAATCGCCTGAACTCCTACCTCACTGACAACAACCTTCTTGACCCTCTACAGTTTGGCTTTCGCTCACTACACTCCACTGAAACTGCCCTACTAAAACTCACTAATGATCTACTAACTGCTAAAACCAATGGCCACTACTCCGTACTTTTACTACTTGACCTCTCTGCGGCTTTTCATACTGTTGATCATCCCCTCCTCTTCAAAAAACTCCATTCTCTTGGCCTCTGAGACTCTGCTCTCTCCTGGATCTCCTCCTACCTATCGCAGCACTCCTTCAGTGTTACCTATAGCGCTGCCTCCTCCTCTTCACTCCCTCTTTCTGTAGGCGTCCCTCAAGATTCTGTCCTTGGACCCCTTCTCTTTTCCATCTACACCTCCTCACTTGGTTACTTTAGTGAAAAAAACCTTAGTGACCTCTTCAGTATGCTAAGTGGGATAGATGTCTGTGCAGTGGAAATGCCCCTTTGAATTGCATCAATCTTGTTTTTGAAATGATTTGCAATCTCGTAAGCAGTGAGTGAGGTACTGGGTGGAGGCGGAGGTGGAGAAAGTAGAGACTTAAAAGTAGAGAAGAGATGACAAGGACTGGATGACAAGGTATTATTAAGAGTGACAAAATAGGCTTGTTTGGCAGCATGGAGGGACAAATTGTTTGTTAAGAAAGCAGATTTTTATAGGATGAATGCTGAGCTCCAGTGCACAGCTATGTCTCTTAAGATTTCTGGTGTCATCAGTCTGCCAAGGTTGTAATGGTCGGGGCCTGATACTTAATGTAAGTAGAGGAACAAGGGAGTCTAGTGTGGATGAAAGCAAACTTTTGTAGACAGCAGTGGCCAGGTCAGGGCAGGACAAGGGAGAGATCCTGTCACAGAGGCAGTCAGTTGCAGAGTGGAAAAGAGAAGGGTTTAATTTATGAAAATATCTGCTGGTAATTGTTTGCTGCTTGGAGAGATAGGTGTTTGAAGATGAGGACACTGTGAAGGTGATGAGATTGTGATCAGAGAGAAGAAAGAGGGTGTTTGTGAGGATATAGGGAGTGCAAAGATGGGAGAAAACAAAGTCTAATGTTTTCCATCAGAGTGAGTGGAGGAATGTGTCCATTGTGCTAAGGCAAACGATGAGGTTACATTGAAGAGTTGGGATGTAGCTGAGTTGTTAACATTAATGGGGATGTTAAAATCTCCAAGAATGATAGTGGGTATTTTAGTGGAGAGAAAATAGAGTAGCCAGGCAGGGAAGTCATCAAGAAAGTGGGACACCCATCCAGAGGGCTGGCAGATCACTGCAATCCTCAGAGAACTAGAAGAAAACAGCTGAGTCTTGAAAGAAGTGAAGGATAGAGAGGGAGGGTTATGGAGGACTTGAAAGGTGCTGAGTGGGGATAGAAGCAAACCAACTCCACCTCCTTTCCGACCACTGGGTCTGGGTGAGTGAGCCCAGAGAAGGCATCCATAGGAAAGTACTGCAGGAGAAGCAGAATCTGATGCTTGAAGCCAGGTTTCTGCAATCGCTAGTAGGTTAAGGGAGTGGGAGACAAAAAGGTCATGGACAGAAGTTAGCTACAGACAGAGCTGGCATTCCAGAGTGCACATGAAAAAGGGAGGGTGGTTTTTAGGAGCATTTGAGATTAAATTGAGTGGATTGTTTCTATTCCTGGAGGAAGGAGGGTGACTAGTGTGGGGGTGAGATACTGGAGAACCAGAGTTTGGGGAGATATCCCCAGAGGTTAGGAGATGAAGGAGGGTGAGGAAAGTAAGGTGGGAGTGGGATGTATATGAGTGCACATGCCTTCCTGTCCTGGTGTTTGGGTCAGCAGGTGAGTAAAGTATCAGCAGGTGATGAGAGCAGTAGTAGGGAGATGGTAGAAGTGAGGGTGATATGTGTAAGTCATGGGGTGGAGCAAATAAATGAGATTTTGAGAGCAGAGGATAGTAATATAAAAAGGGGGAATAGAGGGGGCATATTAAAGGGAACATGGCGTGGGAATCAGACTTGTAGGAGATGTTTCCCAATGTGTTTGCTTGCAGTCCATCCTCCATGCAGTAGAGGTCTTTGTTATATAATTGGGTGATATAATGATATATAATTTCCTGAGGAAGAGCTCTGCTAGTGGCAGCAAAGCTTCAGTGGCAGCAATCCAGTTTGACACACAGAGGTCTGTTTATTTATTTATTACAAGCATCACACTGATCTATCATAGATGTCCTCCTGTCAACAGTCTGTTCACTGATGGCCTCTCCTGTAGGTTGGATGGAAGGCCATAGTGCATCTGGATCTTGCAATTCCATGGATTTCCCTTTTCTAGCTTGCACCACCAGTGAACCCTTGTGGAACTGTAGATCCCTGGAGCTCAGCTCATAAAGGAAAACTAAAGAGGAGGAATAGTGGGCATAGCAAGTCACCAGGTATACCAAAAGGAAATAATGTAGATTGAACCTATTTCTGCATCATTCAAGTTTGGATTACGCAGTGGGTGGTTAACTGTGTACAATCATGAAGAGATCATTACCTTTTAAAAAATTACATAATGTTTCTGCCTAGAGGTCTTAGCAGAAAGCATGTGTCCGAGATAAGTTGAGATAAGAATTTTATATCCAGTACATTGTTTTCCTTCACTCAATGCCATCTACTGGTAATGGACTTTGACATGGTTAAGTTTTTAGCATGTTTACATTTCTGAATGGGGGACATGGTTTCCCATTTCCTACTAGGGACACTTAATAGAAGTAGCTTGTTTCCCCCATGTACAGTATGTATGGGATATCTCCCACAGTCTAAAGCTTATTGGACAGTGACTTGATCCTAAACTGTGGGATAGATTCACTAAAACTGGTGCACTCAGAATCTGATGCAACTGTGCATGGTAGCCAATCAACTGCCACTTGTTCAGTTAAGCTTTTGGCAAAAAAACCTGAATGCTGACTGGTTTCTATGCGGAGTTGCACCAGATTTTGCACTCTCCGGTTTTAGTAAATTAACTTCCTGTGTGTGTATGCTTGCAGAATTGCAGTAGAACATTAGATTATAGTCTCCCCTGTAGTAGAAATTTATGGAAATTGATGTACTCTTAATATGGATGCAAAATACCTAACAATTACATAAATAACCGAAAAACATCAATACTGAGTTTTCAGGATTGCAAAGTGCTATAAGATACAGACCAGTGTGTTTACCAAGTCTTTATAGAAATACAGTCTTGAAATAATTGTACTCTCACCATGTCAATTTTTCTGCATTTCATAAATGACTTTTATTGTCTTAAAAGCTGCCTTCAAAAAATGCACAAAGATAACTAATTAAGGACAATGAAATCCATCTAATTAACTCTGATTTCAACTATTGTAGACAATGAAAGGAAAGTAATTTAAATATAAATGTGGCTGCTATTGGAGGATGGGTATTCTAATTAATTAAAGCACAATATAACTTTCTGGTAATTAAACAGAGTCCCACAATGACATGGTTAGTTCAATAGGTGGACACAAACACTTATAAATAATAAAAATAAAAGTATATTTCAATATGTACAGTATATGTCAGTAATCCAACCACCAACACACACACAGTGGACTTTTGCACAGTGCCAGGACGTACATTGGCTTTGTATAATTTTCACTTGGAGGTTCGACTCCCATTGATTTCAGTGGTGTTCGGATTCAGCATCAACACTTCTTTGATCTGCGATGAACCCTGCCCGAACCTATGGCAGTTCAGTTCATCCCTAGTAACCAGTTTCCTATGCATGCACATGTTAAAATTAAAGATTAAGTATTTTGAAGCACAGTAATAAATGTTTTAGCAAAATCCTGATAAACTTTGTCAATTTTTCTTCCACCATCCAGTTTCTTGCACACTTCCTCATAGAATGATAACAGGTTGGCCTGATAAGAATCATTTTTCATAAACCCATTATGGTTGATACTTAGAGTGGCATTAAAGGTTTGGCTTAAAAAAACATAATGCAGATTTTATATTTACCTGCTCTGTGCAGTGATTTTGCACAGAACAGCCACAATCCTCATCTTCTTGGGTCCCAGGTCCCTTGCCGGTGCTCCTGGCTCCTCCCCCATGACCAGTGCCCCCAATAGCAAGCTGTTTACTATAGAAGCACTGGTTGCGTGCTCACTCCCGAGCTTGGCTCTATGGGTCCATAAGACACATAGAGCTGCTGCTTGGGCCTGCGCCCTGCTCAATCCCCCTTGTCTCACAGGCTGTGATTGACATCAGTGGAATCCAATAGCTCCTGCTGATGTTTCAGCCAATGAGGAGAGGGAGTCCCGGGACAGCCGAGGCTCTCGCACACATCGGTGGATCGAGAAGGGGCTCAGGTGAGTATTAAGAAGGGGCTGTGGAGGGAGCAGCACACAGAAGGTTTTTCACCTGCATGCATAGAATGTATGTAAAAAATCTTCAGCAGATATATTGCTGAACTGAGTTCCTTATCATTTCCTCAAATATTTTACACTATAGATGGTATGCTGATTAGTCTGTAGTTTTTTGGTATATACAGTATCCCAATCCATTTTGTATATTGGTACCACATTTTCTCTTTGCTAATCATTTGGCACCATTCCAGTCAGTAAAGTGTCTTAAACAATTAGAAATAGCAGCTGCCTGTCATACATTTGAACTTTTTTGGGGGCAGGGGAAGGGGGTGAAGTTTGTTCCTTGCTGTAGCTATGTCTCTCTCATATTCCTTTTCAGCCACTCTTTTGCATCTCCTGTTGCATTCCTTGTAAATCTCTAATGGCAACAATGTCCCTTCTATTTTTTGTGGTACATTCAGAGGAAATTCTAGGAAATGTTGGATTTCTACACACCAGCCAGGGCTCCCTCAAAGGAGGAAGGAAAGGTAGAGGGATAGAGAATACACTCTAAGGTAAGTATAGACATCCCACGTTGTAACACAAAGGGAAGAGAGGGGAATAGGGGAATGAAAAAAACAAAGAGAGCTAGCACAAAGAAAGTAGGCAATATCCCATAAATGATAACCCTCAGTCCAAATAATTAAACCAGGCTTCCCTTCTATTGAAGTATAGAGCCTGCTAATGGGCAGAACCTTTACCCACTCAACATGTCTCTAGATTTTGAAGAATGAGATTAAAAAGGGAAAGGGGGGGCTCTGTTGTTCTATGAGCAACCAGCCAAATATAAAGAACTTAATAAGAAGTATGCATATCACATTTAGGAAAATAAATAGGAAATTACATCTCTAGAAGGTCATGAAAACCTGAGAGAATGGGCTTGATGGCAACAGGGAGGTTCACAAACCATCGAGTCAATCCCTGCCAGCCCATGTAGAAGAAATAAATGAGCCAAAGTCACACCAGGTCTGCTCCCCCCAGTGCAAACCATAAATATCACCCATCAATAAACTGAAGACTAAACAAATACAGTTTCTTTTCTAAAGGCACATTGAGTGCAACTAAAGCAAATAGTTACAGCTTAAAGCACTGTGGGTAAATGACATAGAAAAAAAAGTACTTGTGCTACAGCATACAACATAACCTGTGATCTAATACAACACAAATACAGTATCACAGTAAAGTCTGGTGCCTGGGCATAATTAAAAATAATTAAATGTTCGTTATGTGTAATTAGCCCACGTGAGTGTCCCTTCTATTATGTTCTTTTCAAAGGCCTGTTTTTTCTCTTTTATTTGTTTTACTAGTACCAGAATTTAGTCAAACAGTTTTTATATTTGGTTACTTTATGTTTGATACGCAATGGAATACAATGACCAATGCAGTTGTTTAATGTATTAACACTTCCACTTGCCTTCTGTGTTCTTTGTTCCCATTGAGTGAAACTGTAAGGATTATAGCTTACTGGAGTTAACGTTCTTGAAATCTAGTGCTAGAGTTTTTGTCATGCCAAGATGCTTCTATTTCCTGAAACGTATGGCAAATGTGATTACCATGATCACTATTATCCAAGTAGTCCCCAACTGGCACATCTGTAATGAGCACTATGTTGTTTGAAATTAATAGATCCTACAATGTATTTGTGGTGATACACAGATGCACTAAGTGATGTGAAGGACAGACATGACATGTAAATATTTATAAAAAGTGGAGCAAATGAAATACAACACTACATTAAAGGAGCACAGGACACTTTTTCATTGTTGTTGATGCACTGGACACTTTAGGGATTGTTTACTAAAACTGCATGTTGCAAAATCTGGTGCAGCTCTGCATGGAATCCAGACAGCTTTATTGGCAAAGCTTAAATGAACAAGCTGAAGTTAGAAGCCAATTGGCTAACATGACCAGCTGCACCAGATTTTGCACTCTCCAGTTTTATTAAATCAACCCCTATATATATATATATATATATATATATATATATATATATATAGTGTGAATATACATTTTATTTATTTTTTTAGAATTTAAAATGACCTTATAACTTTTAATTTTGTATTAGCATTTACAATTCTTGTATTACTTATTTTTGATCTGTAACTTGATTCTACAACTAGAGCCCAGTTCTACAGGAACCAAAAACGCACCCAAAATTTTTTTACCAGTTTCTCAGCCACCTATTCAACTCCATAAGATCCCGCTGTCTCTCTGATGTGGTTTGGAGGGTGTCTTTTTCCTTGACTTGTTACCCAAGTATCTGAAATTTGTTAGGGTGCTCCATCTTCCTCTAACTTTCTCATTTGTACCAATGTGTACCATGACTGCTGTTTTATCCTCAGTCCCTGCTAATTCACAGCATGTCAAACCCAAGCACTTATATATGTTTTTTTCTGTAGATGTGAGGATGGCCTCTGTATACATACCTTGGCTGATCAGATGTTAATTTTATGCAATGTTTTTAACCTCTTGGCGCCGGCCAAACGCAAATGTGCAGCCCCCTGGCTTCTGGGCCTAGACGCCGAGCTGCCGCATATTTGCGTTCTATTAAAAAAAACATATGCGCTGAGAGCACGCACCCTGCGTACTCCCAGCACACATGTCCGGTACTTACGGAAAGGTCCTGATCTCCTCTTTCACTTGGGACCTTTCCCGATCATGTGACCGCTGTGACGGAGTGTCACAGCGGTCACATGACCCTAAACACAGCCCTGCCTCCCAGCTTCTGAAATCTTTAAAGGGTCGGGAGGCACCGGTGCCAAGGGGTTAATGAAACTGTATTAATAAATGTGTACAAATGTATAATAATTTATACATTTATCATATTTTGTGTGTAAGTGCCTAGAAAGTCCCTAATCCTAGATAATTATATACTATGTGTCATAGCATGACCAAGGACCTTTCCCAAAACTTTGATTGCAGACCTAAAGAGTAATAGCACACTGATAAGGTCATCTTTGTGTTCTCTCTACTTGTATACAAGTTTACAGTAATAGACTAGCAATGTTGTGAAAAGCAATAGAAGCCTAAATGCTATATTCCATTACCCAAAATGAGTGCTTATTTGTGAGAAATTTTAGGATTCTAATGTCTACATATGGATACTTTATCACTGAAATGAATTGTAATCAGTACAATACTAGATTAACTAGTGTGATTTTTTTTTTGTCGGCTTGAATTCAGCATTAAAAGACAACTTTAATAAAAACTGTTGTATTCTTCTAACTGTGGTTAATACATGTAATAATGATGTTCAGTGTATGATTTTCAAGAGTTCGTGTAATTGGAAAATTAGAAATCAGATTAATTTGTATTATTTTTTCTTCTATATACATTTTATTTTCTTTGAAAACCCTTAGAATAACATCTACATGGTCACAGCATCAAGTCACACAAAAAAAACACAATGTAAAAATCAAAAGGTCTGTTTTCTCTTGATACTGTTGAAGCTTCAAATGAACAAATGCATTATTTGAACGTTCTGATGAGCAGATATCTAAACAGATTGTATTCATCAGCAAATGAGCTAGTTCAGCATAGGTAGCTGTACTGAAGGTCAAACTAATAAAGAGACAAAGTGTTCTATAATCAAAAGACATTTATTTCAAATGTACGCAACATACAAACAATGCTAAAAGAGCTGGTTGTTTTGTGAAGTGCATACTGCTAATTTAACATTTCTATTTGAAAGATATCTCAATTTGCATTATAGTATGTGTACTTTGAGGCCTGTGAAAAATGCGATGTGTTGTTATTTAAAAAAATATATACAGTAGTTTATTCTTCAGAAACAAACAAAAAGCCATTTTGTTTACTTTGATTGCTGTGTGTCAGCTTTAAAAGCTATGTTCACCTTTGAAACGTGTTACATGTTACACCTGTATTTAGGCTGTAACCTGTAACATGCTCCAGCCCCTCCAGATCCCCCCTGTGAAAGAGGGTGCCAATTTCTCTCCCCCATTCAGCTGTCAAAATTAGCATGGGTTTGCGTAGCTCCGCCTGCACAACCATGTCCTTCATTCACAGCAGTCTGTGACTGAATAAACTTAAAAAGTCCACCAGCACACAAGTGCCTCCCAGAGTGTCCCAAACAGCTGAACAGACCAACAACACCCCCTGGTGTACTCAGTTCAAAAATTCAAGAAAATGTCCAGAGCTTCAGGAACAATTATAAATGGGGAGTGTTATCCTGCAGCAGGGGTGGACTGACAACTCATGGGGCCCCCGGGCAATAAGGGATTATGGGGCCCCTGTGTACTTGCCCAAACTCAAAAAAGCCTATGAAAAAGGTACCAGGGTCATCTCATGGGGCCCCCTACTGACCCTGGGCCCTCGGGCAGTGCCCGAGTTTCCAAATGGTCAGTCCGCCCCTGTCCTGCAGATGACTTTTCAAGGCTCTTAACAGATTTACAATCCACTTATGTCAAATGGGTACAATAAACTGTCAAATCACAAACTGTGTGTTTCTCCTTTATTCACCTTTGCTTCGCAAATATCTTCAACTCATCACATGTGAAACCCAAAAGAAATTCATATACACTGCTCAAAAAAATTAAAGGAACACTTTGAAAACACATCAGATCTGAATGGGGAAAAATATCATGCTGGATATCTATATTGATATGGACTGGGTAATGTGTTAGGAATGTAAGGATGCCCCATCATTTGATGGAAATGAAAATGATCAACCTACAGAGGACTGAATTCAAAGACACCCGGAAAATCAAACTAAAAAAATTATGCAGCAGGCTAGTCCAATTTGCTGAAAATCATAGTAAATGGTACTCAGCAGCTTGTATGGCCCCCACGTGCTTGTATGCATGCCTGACAACGTCAGGGCATGCTCCTAATGATATGATGGATGGCGTCCTGGGGTATTTCCTCCCCCATATCTGGACCAGGGCATCATTGAGCTGCTGGACAGTCTGAGGTGCAGCCTGGCAGATTTGGATGGACCTAAACATGATATCCCAGAGGTGTTCTATTGGATTTAGGTCAGGCTAATTTGGGAGACAATCAATGGCATCAATTCCTTCATCCTCCAGGAACTGCCTGCATATTCCAGCCACATGAGGCCGGCATTGTCATGCACCAGGAAGAACCCAGCACCCACTGCATCCCTCAGGAACCACAGTGTCACTAGCAGGTGATCCAGGTCCTGACACCTGGTTTGGCAATGGTACAGACAAGCAGTATGAAAAATATATGACATTATTCTACCATGGACAAAGGGATATTCTGTAACTGAAAGTATACAGTGTACAATGTAAACAAACCAACCACAATGTTTTATGATTGGTTTTACATGTGATGTAAATAAAGTTTGTACTATATACAGTGAAGGAAATAAGTATTTGATCCCCTGCTGATTTTGAATGTTTGCCCACTCTCAAAGAAATCATCAGTCTAAAAATCGAATGGTAGGTGTATTGTAACACTGAGAGACAGAATAGCAACAAAAAATTCATAAGAAATACATGTCTAACAAATGATAAACTGAGTTGCATGTTCATGAGGTAAATACTTATTTGATCCCCTTCAAAAAACATGACTTAGTACTTGGTGGCAAATCCCTTGTTGGCAATCACAGAGGTCAGACGTTTCCTGTAGTTGGCCACCAGGTTTGTACACATCTCAAGAGGAATTTTGGCCCATTCCTCTTGGCAGATCCTCTCCAAGTCATTAAGGTTTTGTGGCTGACATTTGGCAACTCGAACTTTCAGCTCCCTCACAGATTTCCAATGGGATTAAGGAATGGAGACTGGATAAGCCACTCCAGGACCTTAATGTTCTTCTTCTTGAGCCACTCCTTTGTTGCCTTGGCAATGTGTTTTGGGTCATTGTCATGCTAGAACATCTAGAACCCATTTTAAATGCCCTGGCTGAGGGAAGAAGGTTCTCACCCAAGATTTGACGGTACATTGCCCCATCCATTGTCTCTTTGAAGTTGTCCTGGCCCCTTAACAGAAAACCACCCTCAAAGCAGAATGTTTCCATCACCATGTTTGACAGTTGTTTGACAGTTGGGATGGTGTGTTTGGGGTCATAGGCAGCATTCCTCCTCCTTCAAACACGGCGAGTTGAGTTGATGCCAAAGAGCTCGATTTTGGTCTAATCTGACCACAACACTTTCAACCAGTCCTCCTCTGCATCATTCAGATGTTCAGTGGCAAACTTCAGGTGGGCCTGGACATGTGCTTTCTTGAGCAGAGGGACCTTGCGGGCACTGCAGGATTTCAATCCTTTTCAGCGTAGTGTGTTACCAATTATTTTCTTGGTGACTGTGGTCCCAGCTGCCTGGAGATCTCTGGAGATCATTGACAAGATCCTCATGTGTAGTCCTGGGATTGTTGACAGTCCATGAGGTGAGGTCTTGCATGGTGCACCAGGGAGACTGACAGTTGTTTTGTGTTTCTTCAATTTACAAATGATTGCACCAACTGTTGTCACCTTCTCACCAAGCTACTTGGTGATAGTTTGGTAGCCCAGTTCAGCCTTGTGTAGGTCTACAGTCTTGTCCCTGACATTCTTGGACAGCTCTTTGGTCTTTGGCATGGTGGAGAGTTTGGAATCTTATTGTTTGATTGCTTCTGTGGACAGGTGTCTTTTATACAGGTAACAAAATGAGATTAGCAGCACTCCCTTTAAGAGACTGCTTCTAATCTCAGCTTGTTACCTGTATGAAAGACACCTGGTAGCCAGAAATCCTGCCGAATGATAGGCGATCAAATACTTATTTCCCTCATGAATCAGTGCATAATTTGTTAGACATGCATTTCTTTTGAATTTTTTTTGCTATTCTGTCTCTCAATGTTAAAATACACCTACCATTCGATATGTATGTATCCAATATATATGTATCCATGTTAATTTACAAGTCTTGTCTGTTACCATGGCAGTGGTCTCAATGGCATAGTTCATTCACAAGCCAGGCAGTTTTCAAAGAGAAAACCAGTACAAAAGTACAGGCAGCAAGCTGTAGAACTTGTCTGCAGGAGCCTGGCAATGCACCATGATCCAAAAATTTGTGCATTCATTATTTTTTCCACAAAGGTTAAGTTAGCCTTTAATATTACAATTAGAGATGAGCGAATCGAACTTGGTGAAGTGGAATTCGTTTCGAATATTAGGAAAAATTCGATTCGCACCGAATCCGAATTTTAGCAAACTTCGGGTGCACGAATCAAATTTTCCCGATCAGCCGGCAAAAAGTGTCACTGCAGAGAGCTCCGCTATTTCTGACAGTTCTCTGACAGTTCTGACAGTTCATTTACAGCGGTTGAAACATTGTATCTATTTGTTTCCATTTAGGATACAGATGTTTTTATTCGGAAAAAAATAGATACAATGTTTCAACCGCTGTAAATGTGAAGGAACTGTCAGAGAACTGTCAGAAATAGCGGAGCTCTCTGCAGATACACTTTTTGCTGTACTGGAATTTCTTTTTTTTCTTCTTCTTTTCATTCTTCTTCTTCTTCTTTTCATTCTTCTTCTTCTTCTTCTTTTCTTCTTCTTCTTCTTCTTTTCATTCTTCTTCTTCATTCTTCTTCTTTCATTCTTCTTTTCATTCTTCTTTTCATTCTTCTTCTTTTTTCATTCTTCTTCTTCTTCTTTTCTTCTTCTTCTTCTTCTTTTCATTCTTCTTTTCATTCTTCTTCTTCTTCTTTTCATTCTTCTTCATTCTTCTTTTCTTCTTCTTCTTCTTCTTTTTCTTTCTTCTTTTCATTCTTCTTCTTCTTCTTTTTCATTCTTCTTTTCATTTCTTCTTCTTCTTCTTTTCATTTTCATTCTTCTTTTCATTCTTCTTCTTCTTCTTTTTCATCTTCTTCTTTTCATTCTTCTTTTCATTCTTCTTCTTCTTCTTTTCATTCTTCTTCTTCTTCTTTTCATGCTTCTTTTCATTCTTCTTCTTCTTCTTTTCATTCTTCTTCTTCTTCTCATTCTTCTTTTCATTCTTCTTTTCATTCTTCTTCTTCTTCTTTTCATTCTTCTTCTTTTCATTCTTCTTCATTCTTCTTCTTCTTCTTCTTCTTCTTCTTTTCATTCTTCTTTTCATTCTTCTTCTTCTTCTTCTTCATTCTTCTTCTTCTTCTTTTCATTCTTCTTTTCTTCTTTTTCTTTCTTTTCTTCTTTTTCTTTTCTTTTCATTCTTCTACTTCTCATTCTTCTGTTCATTTTCTTCTTCTTTCTTCTTTTCATTCTTCTTTTCATTCTTCTTCTCATTCTTCTTCTTCTTTTTTCATTCTTCTTTTCATTCTTCTTCTTCTTCTTTTCATTCTTCTTTTCATTCTGCTTCTTCTTCTTCTTCATTTCTTCTTCTTTTCATTCTTCTTCTTTTCATTCTTCTTCTTCTTTTCATTCTTCTTCTTCTTCTTTTCATTCTTCTTTTCATTCTTCTTCTTCTTCTTTTCATTCTTCTTTTCATTCTTCTTCTTTTCATTCTTCTTCTTCTTCTTTTCATTCTTCTTCTTCTTCTTTTCATTCTTCTTTTCATTCTTCTTCTTTTCATTCTTCTTCTTCTTCTTTTCATTCTTCTTCTTCTTCTTCTTCTTTTCATTCTTCTTCTTCTTCTTTTCATTCTTCTTTTCATTCTTCTTCTTCTTTTTATTCTTCTTCTTCTTCTTTTTATTCTTCTTCTTTTCATTCTTCTTTTCATTCTTCTTCTTCTTCTTTTCATTCTTCTTCTTCTTCTTCTTTTCATTCTTCTTTTCATTCTTCTTCTTCTTCTTTTCATTCTTCTTTTCATTCTTCTTCTTCTTCATCGTGCCCCGTGACTGCCCAAATGAGTGAAGTGTGCGGTGATTCTAAGATCGACGGCACTCATCTGCATGTCATACTGACTGACAGTATTATTTCTCTTCCCCAGCAGACTACAAGGGCATTTAAATTAAAGGTACAGTGTTCTGCACTAATATAAAGGCTCTCTGAAGCCTAGAAACCCTTTTAATAAGTTAAATTCGCAGCGAATAAATTTGCATCGAATCGAATTTCTCCCGCAAATTCGGCGAATCAGCCGAATCGAATTTTTGAATAATTCGCTCATCTCTAATTACAATGATTTTGCTAAAAGAACAGTAGTAAAACAATTGCTTTATAAATATGAGAATCAAACATTTAACAGATACATCTGTAGATGTTGTGCTGTACTATAATAGAAGATAACTACTTGAAGACAAAACAGTTTCACCCCCTTCCAATCCAGGCAATTTGCTGTTTACAGTCCTCTAACACTTTGAATGACAATACCCAAATACATTTTATATCACTTTTTGAGACAGATAGAGATTTGTTTTGAAGGTACTTAACCTCTGGGTTTTTAACTTTTTAAAGAGATTGAACATTTTAAAAAAAAAAATC